TGTAAAGTACTTAGAACTATTCTCACATATTTAGTAAAAGTTTTCCAATACTATCATTAATATAATCATTATCATAGGTATCTTCATTAGCATTTGTGGAATGTATTTTAACCATGTTGTTTTTGTCAAATACATAATTCATAATGGACAAATAGAAATATTTATAATGAGTATAGGAAAGCCTTTCTTCATCATTCATTATTATTCAGGATAGAATTTAAAAAGGAAGAAAAGTATGTGTGGGTAGTCTTTGTTCAGACTTCATCTTTTATGGTGCTCAAAGAACTTCAGTCTAAAACTCTGTGGATATAATGATTTGTAGTTGAAAGTACAGCTGTCAAAAAAAGGAAGAATTAATATTTTTCCTAACAATTTGTTGCTCCCAAAAGCACACAAGTCACATTCTTTGACTAGAAGAAATAGTAACAATAGGATAGTAAACAAATATCTGAATATCAGTTCAGTGTCCCCTCTTGATTAACACAGGTTAAGGAAATAAATCCCTAATAAACACATTATTTAAATGTGAATGAAAATGAGAACACAACTGAAAAACCTGTGAGTGGCAGTAAAAGTTGTGTTGAAAGTTTGTAACCCAATATGCCAATATGCATGCATATATTGAAATACTAGAAAGAATATAAATAAAATCAATATAGAACCCAAGGAGCTAAAACAAGCAAAAGTGAATTGTGGGAAGAGTATGGTATTATTAAAAAGGTAGAAATAAGTGAAAGAAAAAAACTGGATCTAAAATAGAAAATCTGATTATATGATGGAAGGAAAAAAAGGAAACCAGTGATTCTGGAGGTGAAATAGGAATGACAAATGAACAGCATTGTAAGTGAGAAATTGAAATGACTATGTATTTAAACTTAAAAGAACTATCTTTTTTGGGTGATGAAAATATTGTGGAATTAGCGCTGTATATTTCACAACTTTCTGAATATACTAAAAACACTGAACTGTATAATACTTTCTAGGGGTGACTATTATAGTTTGTCAGTTTTATCTCAATTTAAAAACTTAAAAATTGGTATTATACACATTTTAACAGTATATCTGAAAGTCTAGATAAAGCCTGATTATAAAGAAATTGAATTGACATCAGAATTAACTGGAGGTATAATCTTAATAGACTTTCCTCTAAAAGGAACTTCAAAAAATTATAGCAAAAACCTTCAAAAAATGTTTCGTGTCAAATTGCTACACTAAAAAAAGATACCAAAGGAGCTGAAATCTATGAATTCTTTCAGGACATAGGCTGAGATAGCAAATTATCTATTTTTATGAATTTGTCATAATCCTGATGTTAAAACCTGCTAGGAGAACCCAAGATGGTATGTCCAGAATCAGTTATGAAAATATACTGTTATAAATTAGCAAATTAAAACTAGTAATTCACTGAAAGAAAATAAAATAAATATTTGTCACAATCTGAATTTAGGAACAAAAAGATTCTGATAAATTCTTATCTAAAAGGCGATAAATTTAAAAAAATTTGTAATTCCCCTATAATTGTAAGAAAGCCATTGTAAAGGACAAGGCTCGATTTATCTAGATTTTGAAGTCTGGTCTGAAGAAGATCTTTCAATCTGTGGACTTGGTTAGGATTATTTGAGGATCATAGTTTAACAGTTTAGGATGAGTGAAAACATCAAGCAAGGACATTTGATACATGAGATTTGGGATGTAAACTGTAGATAATTCTGAAAAGTTGATGGGTCTTTTAAAATTTATTGTAATGCACAATAAAACTATTTTTAGGTTTTATCTTCCTGTGCAAAAGTCTCCTGGAATAATGATGTGATGCTAAAGAAGATAATGGAATAATAATATAATGTTAATATAGCCAGTAAGTTTTGTCAAGGTGTAGATGGTCTTAGTTCTCAGTATCTAAGGATAGATGGTTTGGATTCTCATCACTGGGAATAACTTAAATTTTCTTTAAAAGAATAGCTGAACAAAGTTAAAACTGACATTGTAAACAATATGCAATATGTTCTCATCACTGTATAAATATTGAACATAGAGCCTTTTAAAATAATTAAGCTGGTTTTTTTCAAGATGGGTGACTAGAGACATTGGTCGTTAGCTCTGAGAAAGAAGAATCAAAGTTTTTCTTTGATTCTTCAAGACACAAGGGCTGAGATTCCCTGGGCAGGGTAGCTGTGGAAACACAGCCACTCCTTGAAGTAACAGGCATGGGCCCCACCCTTTGTGCTAGCCTGGGCATGGTAGGAATGCCATCAGTGGGGGTATGGCCACCCTAATGCTATGAAATGACCCTCCCCCAGGGCACCTGTGCCAACCTCCCATTACCCTGCCAGGGAATCTGAGCCCTTGTGTCTCCATATCACTGGATCCCCAGCAAAGATTCCCCAGCACCCACTCAGACTACACCTGCCAGAGGGGGCCAGCAGTTTCAGAGGAACTTGAGGATTCCCAAAGTTCTAACACTGAGGGCAGGCTGCCCCTAGGGGAGAGGAGAGTGCAGGACCCTGGGGTGCAGCTGGGGGAAAAGGAGACGAGAGCATGTGCTCTCCTTAATTTGAGGTTCCTCACTACTGAGCTGAGGGTGTCTGCTCTTCCCTCAGCAGAGAAGCACGAACAATGCGCTCTGAAGGGGAGAAGAACAGATTTCCCCAGCAACCAGGTGGCTCCGGTGCCTAGGAAGGAATGTGGAGTTAGGCCTTTCATGAGGGTTCCTTTCTCTACACTTTTTGCTTCCTGACAGGCACGCCGGATTCTCAGGCAGATCTGGCTGTCCATGCCTTGTGCCCTCAGGGGAACCCTCGGTCCCAATGCCCCTTCAGATGGCTGCATGATTCCCGCTGGATGAGATACAGCCCAAAGTGGGGCGGGACTTAGCCTTGGAATAAATGTGGCGTTTCCTTTCATCGCCACTTTGCTCTTCCTTGAGGGGGCTGGGGAGTATGTGCTCTACTTACTGTGATCCTGGGGGCAAGGCTGTGGGGCCCGGGTAGCAGCGCAGAACCTTTTGGCTGCTTCTGCTTCCCCGGGGAAGAAGGGACTAGGGATTGGGTGGGTGCAGGTGGGGGAGCAGTAGTGCTCCCAGTGGTTAAAGGTGGGGCTGTTTCCTGTTCTCGGAGAGCTCTTTTGCCTTTCAGGCAAGATTTCCCAATCTTGCCTGGGACTCCAGCCCAGGCCTTGTGTGGTCACTCGTATTCTTGGCTTCTCCTTGACGTTCTTGGGGCCTTCAGTGCCCCTTGGGAGCAGACATGTGGTCACCGTCAGTCTGGGAATAGCCCAGACCTGCGTCTGAAACAGCTGCTTCGCTGCACCTGCCCTTCCGGATCCCATTTCCCCCAGTGACCTACCTGTGGTCACTTTGGCAGCCCCTTGCGCTTGCCTAGGTCAGTGTTTCCATCTTTGCTGAGCAGCGGTGGGGACAAGCAAGGGCCCCTGGCCTTGGAGAACAGGGCGATACCTGGTAGGCCCAGGTCCCAGAGAGGCAGAGGACACAAAGATCAGTGAATTGTCAGCGGACCCCTGCCCCTGGGGACTGTGGTAACCTCAGGTGCCCCAACAACCCCAGGTCCCCTCCCCACATTTCACCCCCACCACCATGTGAGCCCACACCTGCCCACACCATCCAACCCGAAATCGGAGCCAAAGGGGAAGGCCACTGTTCTCACCTCACTCTGAAGCTGGGCCTCCACCGGGCACCGACCCAGACCTCGGCTCCAAGGGGTCCTGAGAGCAGGATGGCTACGGTCTGGCCCTCGGTCCCCGCCGCAGCCGTCTCGTGCCTCCCAGACACGCCCCCCTCGCGGCCATCCGCATCTCAAGCTCCCTCCGCCGCACACACACCCGCAAGCCCGAAGTCCTCACCGCTCTGGGCGGCACAAGGCCGAGTGGCCGCCAACGCCTCACTTCCGGCGATTCCCCGCCGGCCTTGCAACTGCGCATGCGCCTGTCACGGGCCAGGCGCCTGCCGTCACAATACCCGCCACGGTTGCCCAGCGACCGTGTCCCTTAGGCGTTGGTGAGCCAGAGACCTCTGTGGCCACGCCTCGGTGCCGGGCTCTGGCCTGCCCTTTCGAGCGGTTCCGGGCCATGGGTCCGGGAGCCCAGGAGCCGCGGAGGGTCGAGCGCGCCCGAGAAACCTCGTCGGGAGGCGCCAGGACTCAGCGCAGGCTCCATCGCTGCCTCCCGCCCGCCTCTCCTCGCGGGTGTGTGTACGTTCGAGTCCCCCCAACGTTGTGGCCCCTGTACCCCTGGGCTGGTCTGTTCCCAGGGGGGCTTCCTGGCAGGGGGCAGAACACCGCAGCCTCGGGAGCCGCCTGTGTGCACGTGTGTGTGCCTTGTTTGTATGTGAGTGATTCTGGGGGAGTGTTTTGGCGGGGGGTGTGTGTGTTCGTCTGCTGTTTGCGGGCGGCGTGTGGCGGGAGGAACGTGTCTTGGGCACTACGTGGCAGTCGGGGAGGGGCTCGTTTCAAGTTGGCTTTCCCACTGCTGAGCCCCTTTCCCTGTTCCCGCCTGGGCTGTGCGGCCTAGGGAAATCTCTTCTTGTGGTTCCTGCCCCCTGCCCGAAGGCCTGGGTGAGTTGGGGAGGCCGACTGGGACCGGCAGGCATAGGAGTAACCTCCCAACCGGGAGGGGCCGCTTTTGTCAACCTAAGAAGGCCGCATCACAGTTGAGGACAGAAAGCTCTGAAGGAACCCATTCTTGGCGTGCAGGTCAGGGGCAGATGGACGTCAAGGAAGGTGAGGCTATCTCCATCCCCCTTTTCCTCTGGTGGTCACATCAGTCCTCCTCATGGCCCAGTGATTGAGAAGCAGAGCACAGGGTAAGGCCAGAGTATTTCCTTCAAAGCGTGGCCTTTGGGGCTACCTCACCTGTCTTGCTCTCCTTCCCTCATCCACGTTCACGTAGCAGTGGGGAGTGATTTCTCCTGCGTGGGCTCCCACGTCTCCTAGGTCCTCCATCTTCTGTTTTCCTGAAACTTTTTCAGGAAAACAGACTAGACTTTTCTCCTTCTGGGTCCATCTTATCATCAGAATGCTTCTCCCAGTTCATCCAGGACAACATTCTTGGGTTATCCCTCTCATGAGGGTTCCCTTCTCTACACATTTTGCTTCCTGGGTAGGCACGCCGGATTCTCTGGCAGATCTGGTTGTTCATGCCTTGTGCCCGCAAGGGAACCCTCTGTCCCAATCCCCCTTCAGATGGCTGCATGATTCCCACTGGATGAGATGTAGCCCAAGAGAGGGCAGGGCCCTGGCCTTGGCCTTGGCATAAATGTGGCGTTTCCTTTCATCTCCACTTTGCTCTTCCTTGGTGGGGGCTGGGAGGTACATGCTTTACTTACTGTGTTCCTCGCGGCACGACTGTGGGGCCCTGGTAGTAGGTCAGAACCCTCTGGCTGCTTCTGCTTTCCCGGAGAAGAAGGGACTAGGGATTGGGTCGGTGCAGGTGGGGGAGCCGCAGCGGTCCCCGTGGTTGAAAGCGGGGCTGTTTTAAACTGATGAATCTGTTATTCTCTTAGCTTTTTATTCATTCTCTCTTCAAAGGCCTATAGTGAGTCACCTGCCACAAATAATTTTAACTCCTTAAGGGAAAGCCTGTTAAGGAACTTAACTAGGTGAATTTGTAAATATTCATCCTTATTGTGGAACAGACTAATAAACACTAAATTAATTGTATCACCAAATAAAATGTAACAATTATCTCAGCTTTATGAAGGCTCTATATTCAACTTTCATATACTTTTTATATCTTAAGATTTTTCTTTGGGATAAATAATTATGCCACATAAAAGAGTAAGGCTTTCTCACATGTATAGCAAACATAAATCTAACTCAAAGTAACTTAAGCAACAAAAAAGGAAATTTATTGGATCACAAAAATAAGAAAGTAAAGGATGGTGTAGACACATCAGGCATGATTGGATCCAGGAGATCAAACAATGTCATCAGATTTCTGTCTCTCGTCTCCATTTTCCTCTGTGTTAGATTTCTCTTTGGGAAGGCTTTCCTCATGGGGTGGCACAAAGGCTACTGGTTAGTTTTTAATCTTACTAAATCCTTGAAATTTACAATTCCAGGAATAAAAAAAGATCTTCTCTCTTACTACCCATAGTAACACCGCCAAAGGGCTCTCAATTGGTCCAGACAGATAGGGCCATTTGCCAATCCTTTCTTAATCACTAGATTGGGGAAAATAATTGGCCAACCTGTGACCAATCCATTGCTGTTCCTGATTAACAGTTTTATCAGAATCATATGCATTGAAGTTGGGGTAAGTCAGGTATAGAACAGATCATAAAGTAACAGATGTCTACTACTCAGGATCTTTCAAATAATGGATGCTCATGAACTAAAGGCTTTTCCATTATTACATTCATAGAATTACTAATCAAAAATAACTCACTGAGATTCATTAAGGTCTCAGTGACTAAATGTTTTCTTTCCTATACTTGTTGTAATCAGAGGGTTTCTCTATTATGAATTCTCTGATGTCGTCTAAGGGCTGAGGCACAGCTAAAATTATTCCCACATTCATTACATTTATAAGGTTTTTCCCCAGCATGAATTCTCTGGTGTAGCCTAAGGGACAAGATCTGATGGAAAGCCTTCCCACATTCATTACATTCATAGGGTTTCTCTCCAGTATGGATTCTCTGATGTTGATTCAGGTATGAGCCACAACTGAAGGCTTTCCCACATTTGTTACATTCAAAGGGTTTCTCTCCTGCATGACTTCTCTTATGGTGAATTAGAACTAAAGCATCACTAAAGGCTTTCCCACATTTACTGCATTCAAATGGTCTCTCTCCAGTATGAATTCTATGGTGTCGATTAAGTTGTGAGTCAGTCCTAAAAAACTTTCCACATTTGATGCACTCATAGGGCTTTTCTCCGGTATGGATTCTCTGATGTTGATTCAGGTGTGAGCGATAGCCAAAGGTCTTCCCACATTCACTACATTTGAAGGGTTTCTCTCCTGTGTGAATTCTCTGATGGAGAGTAAGGGCTATGCGTCTGCTGAAGGCTTTTCCACATTGATTACATTCGTAGGGTTTCTCTCCAGTGTGAATCCTCTGATGTTGATTAAGATGTGCACTCTGTCTGAAGGCTTTGTTACATTCTTTACATTCATATGGTTTTTCCCCTGTGTGAATTCTCTGATGTTCAACAAGAAAGGCATAACGGCTGAAGGCCTTCCCACATTCATTGCATGCAAACGGTTTCTCTCCAGTGTGGATCCTCTGATGTTGAGCAAGGTGTGCACTCTGCCTGAAGGCTTTGTTACATTCCTTACATTCATATGGCTTCTCTCCAACATGAGTTCGCTTATGTTCGCTGAGAAAGAAGTCATGGCTAAAGGCTTTCCCACAGTCATTGCATGCATATGGTTTCTCTCCACTGTGAATTCTCTGAGGTTGAGTAAAGAATGAGTAACAGCTAAAGGCATTACCACATTCATCATATCCATGAGGTAATTTTCCAAAATGAGTGGTCTGATGTTGAGTAAGTAATGAGTGGAAACTTAAGAGATTTGAAAAATCATTACTTTCATAAGGCTTTTCACCAGAAGGAACTATATCTTTACTAAAGTGTGTACTCTGGTTGAATTCATCACATTCATTACCTATCAGGGACTCCTTCTCAGTATGGAGTCTTTTATATTCAATTATGACTGAATTTTGGGGAAAAAGTTTATCATAAATATCAAATTTATATACTTTTTCTATGGTGGGACCTTTCTGTTGTGGTAAAAGTACTGACTTCAGGGGGATACTTCTCCCAGAATTATCATATTCATTGTCTCTTTTCCCAATAGAGATTTCCTTAACAGTTGTTACTTGCCTGAAATGCCTCTCTTGATTTCCCTGATGCCTCTCAAATTCATCCTCATATTTCCAGGCTTCTCTGAAACTGGAGCATATGAGTCCATGACTTGTTATTCTTTCCATTACCATCCCCTGGGATATTTCTTCTTCATCAATGAACCATGTTGGAGATAATTCCTTGATTTCACACCAAGATTCCCAGTCTGAAAAATATCAAGAAAGAAAATGTCTCTTTTTTTCCTTTGTGAGGAGAAAGAAAATTGTTATAAAAGAAATTGAAAATTTTAACTGGGGAGAAGGAGAGGAGAAAGCACATGGTTCCAACATCCCCAAAATATAGCCATGCAATATGAACAAAAGACGAAGGAAATATAAAGAATGAAGAGAGCTAGTAGGTGAAGGTATATGTGTAGGTGATGGGGAAGTGCTAATAGGGGAAACAGATAAAAGGCAGGGCATAAGAGGCAGACAAAGCTAAATGCCAAGAAGATAAGGAATTGAGTATGGTTGATTAGATCATAACCACAGTTTCTCTGCCTCTAGTCTTTAAAGACCCCGGTCCATCCTACGCTGGTATTCATAAGACTCAAGGCATCAAGAGGCGGACAAAGCTAAATGCCAAGAAGATAAGGAACTGAGGATGGTTGATTAGATCATAACCACAGTTTCTCTGCCTCTAGTCTTTAAAGACCCTGGTCCATCCTACGCTGGTATTCATTAGACTCAAAGCTCCATGGCAGGGCTTGATGTTCACTCCTTTCTCTACCACTGTTGCATCCAGTGCCTAGGACAATGTGAATGTGTTATTGAATGAATGAATGCTGCCAGAGTAATCTTCTCATAATAACTGTTTCCA